ACCATTTTTTAACATCACCGCCCCTGGTCTTTAAGACTGTTTCTCTAACCTTTTCTCATTCATTATCTTTTCCTAATAACCAATTTTAAATGCAAAAAATGTTTGTTCTTAAGCCAAAAAATATTATTGTAAAAAGGTAGTTACAAAAATAAACCTAGAGTCGAATGACTGTGAAAGGGTTGACAAAATTAAGTTAACCTGTAACTAAAACTGTTTAGTGCGTTTCAGGATTTAAGAGGGCTGGGGATTGTGTTAATTCAATAAAAAGGTTAGCTCATCTAAATTTCTGCAGGGTTTACGTTTACGATACATAAAATAACCCTAGCTTTTAACTAAATAAATAAATTATTTATAACGTAGTGTAAAATGAACACAGCATGAAAAGTCAAATTATTTATATTTTAGAAAATTTTTTCCAAGACTACAACATTTCTTTCTGATTCTGCTTTTAGGTAATTAACAAATTTCAGACACCGTATAGCTTTCTAGAACTACTGTACGAGGCTTGTTTTTAAAGGGGCCTGACGTCTACGGGTCACTGTGTCTACACATTTTTTTAAAGTTTTTAATCTCCTGCCGAATGGGAGACAAGGTCAGTGAAAAGTGATACTTTTTTGACTACAAGAAACATATCGGCAGCAGACATTCATTGACATATAACCAAAAGATTATGGCCCTAATGCAAAGAGTGAGGGTCAAGTACAAAATAAGTTTAGGAAGATTAAAAATGGACGTAAAAATTAATATTTTGAAGAGATTGTGTTTTGATGCGTACCCAGACTTTTCACAAAAGACCACAATGGAAAAAGGTTAGTGAGAGTTTTGGATTTCTTGATGCCTTACGAGTTAGAAAGATGGTATGTTGATTCAAATCCTTACAAGACAAAACACGGGTATCTCATATCATATCACTCCTGAATCACCTGGCAATCAACTTAGCCCGTCAATTTCAAGTCCTGTTAATGCTGGTCTGAGTGTTATATCATGAACATTTTCACACATATAAACTATTACAAATTAAACCAACTAACTACGTACATTACCAAACATTTATGTTAAATAGGGGATTTCACAGTTGTTAAAACTTGATTCATTGTTGGGAATGACTTTAAGCTGAGCAGCAATTTATTCACAAAACCAGGATGAAGCCAGCTAATTAAAAGTTTTAAGTTGTTCAGTTATAACTGTTGGAGAACTTGGAAGTTTTCAAACTCTCTTATATCCAACTTTGAAAGTTGTAAAACTACCACAAACTTTATATTTTTTTATACCAGTAATTAGTTGTCTAATGTCATTTTGTCCCTAAGAGCTTCACAGAAGGCAATTTGTTACTGAGAGTCCCATAAACATTTTAAAAACTGTTTATTAGCTAATTAATTATTATAAAACCAGTTCAACACAGACTTAAAATCTTTAAATTATCTCAACAGTACATGGAGCCAAAAATATAAAAAAATACCTCATTCTCTAAATTCAAATTATTTTTAACAAATTTTTTTTGGAAATTTTACTCACTAGAAGAATATCTGAGAGATGTGTAAATTTGAAAGACATTACTTCACTTTTAAGTTTATTTTGATTGCTTTATTTCTTTTGTATTTTATTATGTAGATTTATCAATTTAGTATTCAACTTATGAGAAATCACCTGTCAAGAGAATTGATGTAGTGTGATGATGTTAGTAAATAAAAAAAAATAATTACTTAAAACTAAACAGTGGTTGATATCGAAATAGATGTGAATTCAGATCAACACAATGTCCAGTAGGTAGGGGAGTGCCCAGAGCTTAGTCTGTTATTATGCTCAGTCAACTATTATGTACACTGTTGGCACAACTCTCCTATTTATACACAACATGCCACAAGAACTGCACCATCAACAGATAAAGCCCTTCAATACTGTCTCCAAAATGATTTTGACATTAATACGTCAAAAACAACACCGATAAGTTATAGCAGGAAGCAGGAGCAAATACCAGGAATTCTTAAAATCTCAGTAAAAAGAAATTCCAAGCTGCTGGGTCTAACAATTGATGTTGACCTCTATTGGAATGACCAGACTTGAAACCTCATCAAGAAGCTTTCATCTGGGTTATGGTGAAAAGAATGATGTGGATAGGATGGCGGAAAGTGCTGAGACAGCATACCACACTATGGTTGAATCACGTGTATGATATGGATTGATTGCATGGAAAGTGACCTTAATAATATCCTGGATATCTAAAAAGAGGCAATAAAGACACTCTATAATCTTGACCCTAAAGACAGCTGCAGGGGAGCTTTCACATCACTAAAGCTTTTACCAGTTATAGACCTCATCCATTTATTTTTTATGTAAAGTAAAAACATAAGCTGGAATTCCTCAGAAATCAAGGTTTCCAATCCTATAACAAAAGAAGAGCAACTGGCTTCAGTCTTCTGGTCCACCATGCAATGCAATTTGGCATGTAAAAGATTGGCCCAAGAATCATAAATGCATTGCCAAATAACTTGAAAAATCAATATTATAAACTTTTAATTCCGGTAAAGCAAGAACAGCCTATATTTTTGTAATGTCATTGTATTTTTTAAGAAATCACAAATAAAGAAAACAGTCTATTGTCTGTATAGGTTAACCGTCTAATTGAATGTGCCTCCAGGTGAGGGTTAAACCACCCCGATGCTTAGCTAGTATTCATGGTATTATTTAAGCATCTTAGTATGGAGCGAGATAGAGCCCAGAGCCCACAGAAGGCTGTCGAAGTAGGTCAGAGTACTACTTCCCACTTCCCACTGAGGGAGCTGGAGTCTACGGCAGGGGTCTCCAATCTACAGCCCGTGGTTGGAGACCCCTGGTTTAAGGACTTTGGCCTTGAGTTCAGGTAAGATAATGTTAAAGCAGGGATTAAGGTAAGTTTAACAAATTAGGGGTTATTTATTAACCTTTTTCAGGCTACCAGACATTTAAGGCGTTTAAGTTTGTTTGAGGAGGGATATTTTAAGTTTGTGCCTGAGCTAAGTCACCCAAAGTAACTTTGGGCAGCCCTAAAGGTAGCTTTGAGTTTTATCAATGTTACAGGGCCTAAAAAGCAAATGTTTCCACAAAATGTGATTTAATGGGAAATTCATTGATGATTGTTACTTAAGAAAAGGATATTTTTCATGCATTATACCCCTTTACAGGAAAAAATTATTCTTAACAACCTTGGAGACGCAGAAAGTTTTTGGCTCCTGCAAAAGGTCACAATTCATTTTATATTACCATTTTGTGTTTTGTGTGTGTGTGCCATCTTGTGTGTATCAAAAGAATCCTGGATAAACATTTAGCAAACCCATCAGCAAGAACATAGGTGACCTTACCAACAAGTCAAAACTATGCACATTCACATTATAAACATTAACCTTCGCGCTTTCTGTAGTTCATTAGGTCCGTCACACTTAAAAACTTTACTTTCTTTCTTACACTGTGACAAAATAAGTGTATGGATTAAGCGCTGAAATTCGACAATGGAGCAGTAGTCCTTATACACATTCAATTCAATTCAATATTTCTTTATTCATTAAAGCACAAAGTACATCTGCTGGTAATTGATGGATTGACAGTAGAAAAGCTGTTAACTGTATATTACTCAACTACAATGCTTCAATTTACATATTTAACACATATGTTACTTGTACAATCCAAGTTGGACTGCAACTGACGAAGAAACTTGCCAACTTTGGGTCGTCGTAAACTTTCCTTTTACCTTCTGTTACTGCTTGTCAGAAATTACTTGACTTGTCACCGTTGTCTGTTAGGGGCTTATTAGCTTTCCCTTCTCAGAGTAAGTTAAGTTTTAAAATTTTGTTTGTGGTTACACTTATAGTTAAATATCACACACAAAAAACTTAGGACTGAATGTTGCAACACTAATTCAATATGTGAAATACTTAAGTTTTTAATAGTTTATCTGATTAAAAAATTGTATACTTTTTCAGTAAAAGATTCACCCTTAATTTGCAAGAAGTGGTTGGCGATGTTACTGTTACTGAGAATGTACTAATAAAGTTTGCACCATCTCAAAAAATTAAGCTATTCGCCATAAAACTTTAAGGCATCTGCAAATTGATTATGATAAAGTGAACCATGGCATATGCATGGTGGAAGGAAAATGGACTTGGTTTTGCTACAACAACAGGTACACGTCTTTAGATCACCTTAACTAAGAAAGAATATGCTACAACAATAGCGGTAAACGGTTACTGTGTTACAGTTGTTATTATGACGTTGGATTGATGTTGCAGTTGTGTTAGATTATTGCCGCAATCATGATATATATGTTCCAATTGTTAGTGACCAACATTGCAATTGTAATCAATTACAGAACTTTAAGTGGTTTAAATACCTGTATTATGATAATCCTATAGCAGTAGCAATTAGTTTCTGTTCACAATGGAACCATCATCAGGCATCACGAGGACGAAAACGTCACACCATATGAAATTCGACATGATGTCAAATTGGTACAAACATTCACATAACGAACATATGACACGTCTCACGCATAACTAGAGCCTTTCTAGAACCCTACTGATGATAAGACTAGTGTGACACACCAACCACAGTGAACAGTATTCTAGAACTAAACCCCTTTGGTTGCATATTAAATTATTCTAGTACCACTACCATAAAGGACATAAGGACCTTGGGGACAATATAGAGGTAAATGAACCACTTAAAGTATAACTTGGTAATTAAGAGGGTACTTACCTTGAAAACGTAATACATTTTTGTCACAATCTTAATACATTGTTGTTGCAATTGTACACACCATTGTAAAAATTAATTGTCATCCGTGGTAGCCACAACCAAGATAACTTGTTGGTCAATAACGCATGATGATCATGACATTACTAAGAGTGCAGGGTTTCAAAAATGTGCGTAAGAGTATCACAATATCCCCATATCAAGCTGTAAATCAAGGCTACTTCCGTAGTCGAAGACCAGGGAATTACAGAATATGTAAATAAAAGTTTACTCACGTTCGGACGGTGGTGGGGGAAGAGGTGGCCGAGGCAAGTTCGCTGTTATCGTTGGCATCGTAGAAATCTTCCTCTTCGGAACTAGAATACGACGTCTCGGGAACATTTAACACAGGAATAGGCGATGTGGAGCTGAGACCTGTGAAAAATGAAAGATTTAGCGTTTTAACAACTTGAGACATCCTATAGTTCATTTGTTCTGGAAACATTTACTTTTAAACAACTGTAATGATCTGGTTGTCTTGTACAGCTTGATGTAACAACCTCCGGTAGTCAAAATTTTGACAAGAAGAAGAAATATCACTAAACCAGAGCGAGTTGACTGTCTTAATAGTCTTATAGTTTTTAGACTTACACAAGATATAGATAGCCTACACTGAGACAGTGACCTAATTAACATGGACAATTTTTAACTAGTTTGACTGATCCATCAATAGTTTTCTCTTTTCTATCTATAACTTTCTTGTGTAACTTCAAGCATTAAAGGAGACTGGCTAGGTGTTTCTTACAGCAAAATTGAATTGAATTGAAACCAGTTCTTTTGCTACAGCCTATAAAATTTGACAACCAGAACAAAATACAGTTAATAAAGAGCTCACCAAGAGTCACGAGATGACACAAAAAGTATTGACATTTTTCCTTCACTGCAGGTGTCTGCATGTACACGAAATACCTCAAGCACAATAAGGGACAGTTTGTTTTATCATTTGAACTGTGATAAACGTGTGTTTTAGTTTCAAATCGTAGATTTTACAGACCTAAACCTTTTTAATATTTCTATTGTTGGTTTTAGGCCTGATTTGAATACTTCAAGCGAACGATTCTTGAGCTAATCTCTGAAAAAATTATATAATAAAAAACGTAATCACAGGAGATGATCATGATGCTATAGCAAATGCCACATAATGATATTGCCTTCTGTGATAGGTATGTGACGTTCAGTGGGTGCCAAGCTCCCTGTGGATGTTCTATGACAGGGATTTCACTTAGTGTAGCTCAGCAAAATCAAATACAAGAAATTCAAATGTCAGAAACAATATTTACTTACCAGATCCAAAAACAGGCATCATTGGGAGACTTTGCATCATGGGAATTCTAGGTTCAACACACTCAGAACCTAGCTCTATACCAGGTTGTACTTCGGACGGCAATAGAGAACCTGAAACATTTGTGGAGTTGAGATAAAGAAAATTCTGAATTATAGATTTAGCAAAATTCGCTTTACAACAAATACATCTGAATCCCAGTAATTTAAACCCTACGAATTAGAACGTCCAGCTAATCTCATGTTATTAAAAAAAGATTACATTACATATTTAACACGATGACTGCTGAAAAAAACGTACAGGCGCTCCCTAGTGGCGGGCGAAGCCCCGGCATGCAACCGAATCAGCGAACGCAATTGGCATTCAAATATTTCAGTCTGACGAATCACAAAAGAGCAGTGGTGACTGTGCTGCGTTACCCCGAGAGTGGATGTAGTTCACTGAAACACCCAAAGGTAGCAGCACTACACGGATCCGTATCCAGTGTCTTTGTAATGTGGGTTGAAGAGAAAAAATCCCCGAAACCGGGACAAAAGCATTGCCAGAAAGGATTTTACGGGAAATTTTAGAAATTCTAAGCTGGCAGGCTGGCAACGATTATAACGTCTCCGTCTGAGGCTAAGCTCACACTGACTCAATATATTTCTGTTGGTCTGGTGCCGACTTTTGTCGGCGCGCGCCACATTGAGGTGCTAGCGACGCCGACTAGAGTCGGCGTTAGCAGTCAACGTGTTAAATTTAAAACAATGCTAATTGTTCTAAAACACCAACCAGGATGTCCAGCCGACCGAAAGACTAGGACTCTGGATGTTGTAATTGAATAATAAATAGGTTAACATACCTTACGTCGTCAATCCTAAAATTAGTCTACGGCGACTAGTTTTGAAACATCAAGGATTCATTGTCGAGCCTCTTGCCTCTTAAAAATATTGGGACATCTTGTCATTGTCAATACACAATAGTACATTTAACATATAAACACGAACATGGACACAAACTATTTACAAAAATGAATGCGCGGTCGGCCATAGGTATCGCGGTGACGGACACAATGCAACTAACCGATTCCTGTCTGTCGACATTGACCTTGGAGGGGGTGAAACAGCTGATTGTGAGCGCTTCTGTTATCAATGCCTTCAATCCTATCAAATATTATGTTAAGGCCAAAATTTAGTTTTTCATTTCAAATGTCGTGAGGATTTTTTTTTGTTGCTTTGTAGATTTCTGGACTTTCTAGAACATTCATTAAGGAGCCTTTGGTACATTTGTGTAAAATATTTAGGCTATCATTGCAGCTATTAACGTTGTGGTTTTCGTTAATCAGGTGTTCAGCGAACTTGGTGTTGAGTTCTCAATTTAGGTTTAGGAAGGTGTTCGTTAAACCTTTTCTTGAACGAACGACCTGTTTGTCCCATATATATTTTAGGGCAGTCGCTGCAAGATAGTTTATATACTCCAGTGTCCTCAAGGCTGTTGGAATGAGTTGTTTTGGTAGTTTGTGGATTTAAGAGGCTTTCTAATTTACTCAAAGTTTTGTGAACTAAAGTTATGTTATGTTTCTTCAATTCGTTTTTCAGGGTGTAGTGTAGATTGCTACCATATTCTATGGATACAAACGGATACAAATTGGACTCGTCAATTCGGATATTATAATGTTTCAATGTTTCTGTGTACCACTTGAAAATGCCAACATGGTGAAACATGTAGTGGATTAAAAATCACACTATTTGAACTGCAAGACGAGGTACCGGTATGTTTTAATTTAGTCTATACTAAGCAGTTCAGGGGCTACAAAATGGAATTTAACAAAATATCAAATTACTCATTACAAATTATATTTTTGTATTTCGAAGCAAGCTAATAACAGATTGCATAGTTACCTGGAGAAATGGCTTTAGGCGAGGAATCAGGCACTGAGACAGGCTGGTAAGTTCCATTGACTGGAAAAGCTGTGTTCTGGAACAAAACCAGATCCAGAATGAGGTCCATAATGGAAGGAGTTGTAAAACAATTCCCACAATGAAAACTACAGACATAGATCTTTCAAATTACAGTACCTCGATAGTTTGACACCCCCTATTGTTGGTCACGGGCCATGATGACATGACATGTCGGCAGCAGGCAATGACGGATTCGACACGGTCCATAACTAGAGCCTTATTATTATTTTCATAAACGCAAAAACTCTATACTTTAACTATCCCATCAATTAACATTTGTTTCTAAATCCAAAGTGAAAAGCAGTTGAATATTAAAAACTATTTTATACAGTAAGAAGACAAAGAATGTACAGTAGAGATTTAAGTTGATAAGTTTGTTATTTTTTGTCAAGTTTTATACTATTCATTGAATTTATTTGCTTTATCTCGTGTGTTAAATACTTCCTGTGTGTAATTGCCCAATATACACCCTATAGTTTGACATTTCGTTGTTCTACACCCTCTTGGTCCACTAAGTGTCAAACTATCGAGGTTCTACTGTAGCAATAATGTTAGTTTGCAGTATACCTTGTGAAATTACGACACCCAACATACGTGGGTTGTCCATAAATTAAGGTCTCCAAAAAAAGGTATCGTCGCAGTGAAACTAGCTAACCAAGATCACCAGCATCAACACGGAAATCAGTGTTAGCGTCTTGGACTGATAGGTTAAGCCAAACACTGCTGGATCAGACGGGTTGCTTGCCCACGTAACTTTATTGTAATGATTCATCATTGTCTTTAGATCACTATGCAGACCAATAGTTTCTTTCTGGTGATGGGCACTAGAGGTTTCTAGATAAAAAAATGTAAGAAAAGCAGATAAGAAAATAATCTTTACTTCCTACTCTATTATTCTAGCAGCTAGCCAATCCTTACCACTGTGCTGATTAGTTTCACTGTAGTAGCTGATAATGAAGTTGTGAAAAATCTACACTTCCTCCCCAAGTATGAATCAAGTTCTGTAATTAGGTTTGTTAAGTCTTAGGGTTAAACCCCCTAAATCTGTTGACTGATGTAAATGGATAAAAGTGTTTAGGACATAGAAAAAGTGGAAATTAAGTGAAGGTGGTTTGGATATGGTCATAAAAATGTGCAGGACCAATGTTTTGCTGGATGTAGGCCAGATGTGTTCGTTCATCAGATTCGTTTGAGGCAGTGATCAAAGTTAGGGTAGTTCTGTATGCGGCTACCAATAGTGTGTCTGGTTGGGACATTGCCGAACAGACAAGGATGTCTCGTAAGACAAATACAGATAACAGTAAATCTGGAATTCTTAAAAACACTGATACTCTATGCAAATGTGTATGGCCTTTTGCCTGCACCCTATGTCACTTTCTCATGACATTAGTTATGTCTCCGTACACTCTGATCAACTGGCAATGGGTTCAATAGAGGTAGACACCCTTCCCACATACACTGCTCACAGAACTATGTATGAATGTGTATCTTTTAAATGAATTGTACATTATAAAGAACGTTTTGTGTAAATGAAATATGTCTACTTCTATGTCTATGTGACGTTGACTATACTTAGCGTAAGTGTTGATTTCCCCTCACAATGTTATTGTAGCTACTACGACAAGACTAATAGTTGCATATGTCATAAATAACCGGTTAAAAATAGTAGTCAAGGAAGCATAAATATTTTTGAATAGTAAAAATTACGACGCTGGTTGTAGATTTGACCTAGTTCATTTAGCTACTTGTGCTAGTTGGAGGCTTCAACCAGATATGAAATAGCTAATCTTTTTTGGATACATCGTTGTATTATAAGTTAATTTACATTGGTGAATAAGTCGCATGTAACCTTTACGATACAGATCAATTTTTGCTGGAGTACTAGCCTTTAGACTAACATCACATTTAAGATTAAATAACTGAAATTACAAGTCAGCTAGTTCAAATCTGGTACCAACGTCGCGTTCTTCACTTCATCTACTCCTTGGGAGCTGACAGGGGCTTCATGCGGATCTTAATTTGTGGACAACCGTCATATTTAATCTGATGGCTAAACTAAGTCATACTCACGGTAATGAACATGCATTATCCCATACATTACTTATTGACTAACAATATTGAATATCTCCGCTGAACAACGTTGCAAACGACATATTTTGTAAAATTAAGATTTTAAAAGGTCAATGCAAATTACATTTCCTATTGATTGGGATATTTTGCTTTTCAAAATACATAGGTTGGCAACACTTTTACAAGCGATTGAATGCACAAAAATTGGCTGTGTTAGAATTGGCATGGCCAGAACGTTGTGTTTTCTGAAAATATTCACTTTTGTCGCTTGCAGCGTTGTTAACTAATCAACTCTCAATGAATGTGACAATTTGGTAAGATACTCTGGATTGGAGGACACTTTTATGTACCTTGGCTATCTGTAGGAGAACAATGGTGTGTTTCACCTGCTCCAGCATATTCTGAAACACAGGGTTCAAGTTACTACAAAAATGTATAACAAACAATTACCAAAACAATTAAAAATTCAGCCTGATTCAAATATTTTTTAAATCACATGTAAAAACATAATATTACAACATTTAGGTTCATCTTCAAGTAAGGTTGTTACAACTTTATTTTACTGTATGATTTATGTTATAAAACCCAAATGCATTTCTTGGTTAAATGACCACGGTTTCAAACCTAACAGTTTGCTTGACAGTACAACAGGTGAAAAAAACAAGGTTGTAAAAGATAATATTAGGTTTTACATACCTACAACAAAAGGATTCTTTGCTTTTACCCTTTAATTTGTATAAATAGGTGATAAAAATGTGTAAATGCATTTATTGCTCTCCAAGACAATAATGTAAATATATAACCAGATTATGTACCTTGTTTATATTCATCCTTAGATAGTATCTGAAGATTTAAGATAACTAATTTTGGGTTGTATGATTACTATCCACCATCTAATCCAATGAGAATGGGGTACTTTATTATTTCCCTATTAATAATTGTTTTATATTACCTATATGTAATTTTATAACTTTTATCCCTTATTATTTTATCCTGAAGATCCACAAAACCAAAATAAAAGCCAAAAAAGATAAATCCATATCCTCCTCCTCTATGATAATGTAAAAAGAAGCAAAACAAGTGATGTGTGCAATCCCAAACAAACTCACTAATGTCGTCACACATTGGTAAATTTGGATTGCACACATACAGCTTGGTCGCCATTAGCTGTATGGGCTATTAATTAACAGCTGTGTCTAAGGAATATGTCGACCTTAGTCACTAACAAGACTACGAGATCGCGCCACTCATCATACACTCATCTCCATTCATACTTGGCTTAAAATACCTACTTTGTATGGTCGCCATTTCAAAGAAAAGGTAAAAAAAGTAAAGATTAGAACCTATGTACGTAGGAAAACATAAACTATACATTCGTCAGTGGCCTAAGCTAACTCTGAGCTACCATGCTACCGTCAGACAACAGGGAGAGAGTCACACATCACACCGAGCGGCCGCAGGGAAGATGCGACAAACTAGTCGGTTAGCAGTACGGCTACCTCACTGCCAAATGCAGTGACAAGTTACACTCATGAATTAATATCAATGGGATAAGACAGAAGATGGGGTACGCAACCGTTTATTTGCTTCAAATCCTGAGTCTTGGTATCAAGATGTTGCACAATTAAAGTGTCACCATAGTATAAGAATAAACATCAAAATTATATGTTTTGAAAAGAAACAGATTCTGCAACTTTGCCAATTGGCGGCATTGTACAAATTTACCTAATACATTTTTCTGCACCTTGGTTATTTCTAGCGGTTTGTGCAAGCAAACAACATGGCCAGGACTGGAATTTCATATTTGTCTCCAAAAAAATTTATTTTTATACGATTTTATGTCTTTTGTTAGGTGTCTTTTTATAACTTATGAGCTTTTGCAAGGAAATACAGGGTGGTAATAAAGTCCGAAGACAGTTAAATATTTTCTTAACCACAACAGATAAATCAATAAGATTTGGTACATCAACACCACACCTAAAAATCTACTTTTTTTAGTAAATGTCAATTTTCTGTCATATCATGGGGACGTCCCGCAAGGAGTCAGAAGGAAATCTTAAATAGAAGCAGAGGTTGACATGTACATCTCATTAAACGTCTTTACTAGCAGATTATAATGCCGCAAATTTGAACTCAAACGGACAACCGAGCCAAGAATGACAGTTGTGCAAAGATTTATCACGTCAACGTCATAACGTCATTCGCCTATTGGGTCTGATGATGGTTGGAGTGTCCAATGGAAATCGATTACCACTTACCATCTTTTTTGTATATTTACCGTCTTGTGAGTAACAGTAAGCGTTAATATATGTTTTAAGTGTTATAAGACGTTTCTTTTATTTACTTTCCGTAAATTTAATAACACTTACAATGCTGATCAAGAAGAAATATAATGGTAAATGAAAACGCTATTTCATTGAGGGTTTCACCTCTTAAGCCTTTGATTTCAAAGGTCTAGATCTGGTAAAAAAACTTTCTTTATAATGAATTAAAATGAGGATTATAATATTTAACAGCTGCTAACATTCAGTTTAATTTTAAACCGCAGTCACATTGTAAACAATAGACGAAACAGTTTATTAAAATGTACTTTGCATAGGCTAATTTTTCTTGATGGCATGGGTCTACAATCAATATTTTGGGTTAAAGTGTTCACGTAACAATTATAAGGTCGGCGGTTCGATCCTGAGAAAATTCAGTATGTTTTAATGGTTTGAAACTGAACCCAGCTGTTCCTCATCATTGGACTTTTTAATGATCCTGACTGATGAAACAGCTGATCTTAGTCAGTAACAAAGCTACACAGAATAATCTTACACCATTCTACACTCATCCATAATTCATATTTGTGTTCAAATATGCACCTACAGTACGGTCCACGAGAGTCTTGAGTTGAGGGAGGAGCCTATTTACCACGTGACTTAGAAGGAGCCAATGAGGACTGTGTGTTGTTGCCAAATCTAATAATACCAGCTGATTTGTAAATATTGTTAAGTATATTGTATATTTTCCTACTTTATTTTATACCTATTAATTATTTTTTCTACTGCATCGGCATTTTTATGTTTTAAAGGATACAGTCCGAACCCTGGTCATGTTTAACATAGACCTTCATAGATAACATAATTTAACTGAAAGTTAAATGAGAAATATTATCTCAATCAAGAATCAATCTTAATCAAGATCAAACTAGCAATGGTCAAATTAGAAGGAGAACACTATAATTACTCAATCAGGACAAAAACCCTATGAAAATTTCTCGGTGCTTAAATATAGGCCTAAAACGTAACTGGTAAATACTGGTTTGTAGCATTGGGAAATTTGATAAAATAAATAAATATCGTATACGGTTTAAATAAACTATTAGTCCATTTAGTTCCAGGACAACAACCGTAGCTGTTGTAAAAGAGATGATACACTACGGCTAACACACAACAAAGATAAACCATCACTGTTGCACAATTGTTAGCAATCGTTATTCAGTCACAGTTGGGTTGGTCGTAAACCCTAACTTACGTTGGCATGGTTCCATATTGCTTCACATCTGACTTTGTCATCTGCATCGGACAATCCTTCCATCCTCAGCTCCAGAGCCTAGACAAACATTAAAATCAGAATATCAACATCAGAATCGCAATATCAACATCAGAATCGCAATATCAACATCAGAATCTGAATATCAACATCAGAATCAGAATTTCAAATAAAGATGTCATTTCATGTAAATTTGTTGCCAGTATTGGAATAAAAATAAGTAGTTGAATTGTGCCACCGATAGAGCGTGCAGGTGTAAATTACTAATTTGTATCAAATACACAAACTTTTAAACCAATCCAAACCCAAAGAATAATAAATGATTGTAAACTGTAACATATCTCGTAATACACTATCATATACTCCTCGCCACCTTTACTTGAGGCAGCCCAAAATGCAGGGCCATTACCGGCTGGTCCCGCACAACCTTTTTACAATCCGCAACGCTTCCGTGGACGCCCTAGCTCAGTATCAACATTAATAAAATTATGATCTGAGATATAAATTTACTCTTTTAGATTAATAAAATTGATTTTACAAACATTTCTGTTTTCGTCCCATCTAAAACGAACAATTTTTATGGTTTTTGAGCTATTAACAAAATACCAAGTAACATAAGTATAAACTGTAAAATTTTCCGTTTTAGATAAGACATAAAAAGATATGTTTGTTAAATTGATGTGATTAACGTAAAGAAGTAAATTAATACATCAGATTATAATTTTATTAATGTTAATACAGTAGAGTCCCGCAAACTCGGCGTAATGTGGACTGGAAGGGTGCCGAGTTTGTGAAATGCCCGGTTATCGGAAACTAATGTTAAAGATAAGAAGAATACAATTTTTAAGGTTATTAACTACCTCTTTTACTTATATTTATATTACAAGTTAGTATTAAGTCATCAGATATAGTACAACAAATCATTTGTACGAGCTGAAAATGATTTGACTTGAGCTGGCTTGAGTCCATGTTTAACTCAGACTCAAAAATCACCAATTTTCTGAGCCAGGTAATGGCCGAGTTATCCAGACTGCCGGGTTATTGAGTGCCGAGTTTGCGGGACTCTACTGTATTGAACTAGGGAGTGCACAGAAGTGTCACTAATAGGACTGTAAAGGGGTGTGCAGGACCAGTCAGAAATGTCCCTGCAGGTCAGTTTGGGCTGCCTCAAGTTACGGTGGTGAGGACTATAGTAACAAAATGGGACTCGCTCGATTCCCAGCACATCCACAACACTCATGGGTTTGGACCGCTTTCCCTATAAGTGTTATTTCAGTACACTGTACATTGTGTCTCGTGTAAAAATGCCTCTGGCATTGACATTAAGGGAAAAAACTAAGGAAGGAAATAGAACTATAGATGTCAGCCCTATCTGTGCGTGACACATTAACTATGTCCACGTTGAATAGAAAATTGGCTATATCTTGTCCATATGCATATAGATGGGATGTCAACGTCAGTATACAAAAGTTAATGGTAGGCCTAAAATATAAGTCAAGTAAAGAAACATTTTTCTACAGTCTAGATGACTGAATGTCTATACTATTATACAAAATAAAATTGCTGTCTGCCTTTTCATCACAAAAATTCACAATATAATTACATTTATAGTTGAATACTTACTTTGCTCTGATCAATAAGAATCTGTAGGTAGGCATCTGCTTCGGCTAGTTTCTTGTCAAAATCTTGAATAGTTGGAGCTGGCTTTACGGTGTCAAGTCTTAACTGCGAACAGAATATTACAAAATTAGTTCACTTACCAAACCACTTTGAAGTTAAATTTTATATCTACAACATTATACAACATTGTTATTATTTAGTGAGTCGGTGGCTCAGTCGGTAGCGTCGCGGACTTCGGGCCCAAGGCAGCGATATCGTGGGTTCGGATCCTGGTCACTGCCAATAACATTGTATCAGTACAGTTCACCTTTGTACTATACCGGCTCACTCTTTGCTTTGCTGTAAACGATCCACGCACGGGCGCTTAGTCTATGTGGACGGGCAAATGCTAGGTTAAAAGAGGCCCGCTAACCTCTAAAAAAAAAAAAAAAATACACACAATCTACAATTATACTGTATATTAGTAGTTTTCATCTCTAGAAGCGACAGTGGCTCTTTTTGGTACGCAATCGTGTTTTACAAGCGAGGCACAGCCTAGCAATTTCCTTCCAAACCATTTTGTAAAACTAAAAAAACAAATAATTTAGTATATTGAAGCATTGTTGTATTCCTGACAGTCACCGAAAAAATCCCAAAAAAGTGTAAATTTAAAATTATTATGTTATTCTTATGGAGAATAAACTGTTGTAGCTTGCTTGTCTATGGACAAATTTTAATGAAATTTTGAAATTTTTTTGCTTTGTACTAAGCTATCAATATTTAAAAAAACAAAACCCTATTGTCTTCCCTGAAGCTGCAAACCTAAGTACTCATTAAAATTTATGATATTTAAATAGGAAATAAATCTGATAATTTTAAGGGAGTAATTTAGTGGAATTCCAGCCACATAGATGAAAATTCGCTTAGTCTGCAGGTTTGCTGCGGCGGGGGTATTTTACCAAATGTGCTTGGTTAAAAAAACTAATTAGGCTAATAATAAAACCCTTAAATTCAGAGAGACTGACACTGAACAAAATGTATTTTCCTTCCATAATGATAATTGCCAACACAATAGTTCTATTCAAGCAAGGTTTTCAACGAACTGAATATTTAATGAATCTTACATTCACTCTATCACCTTCAGTTTAATCAATAGTGTTTTATATTGCAATCAATTCATTACGTTGTATGACTTAAGATAATTAAATACCATCACTTAGTTAATTTCACCTATTTGCATCAGTAATTGTAACATTCATTAAACTTCCCTGTAATTACAATGATGACAGTGTTAATAATATTTTTTTATAGTGATGTTAAGGAAAACAGACAGAGTTTTTGGAAGATTGCTATTACTATTTAGGTAATAATAGTATATTTCATCGCTAGGGCGTAAAGTGACTCTTTTCGACCCCAGCTCCAGTTTTACAATCGAGGCGAAGCGGAGGTCAGAAAATGAGCGAGGGTTGAAAAAACACTTTTTGCCTGTGTGATGAACTATATTTTTCGTCATATTGCATTATTTAAGAAACTAAGTTAGAAAACAAAAAATCGTTTCATGTAAAGAAAACCTCTCAAAACGACTTCCAGCTCGTGTTCAATTCTGCTAATGTAAATAGGCAACTGTTTAGTAAGTGTTTCAGTCACTTGGTCTATATAAATCGATCGATAAATGATTTGTATCCATGCGATTGCTACAATCGAATTTACAACAGCTTATGGGGGCTCAGCTAGTCAATTGGTTAGGGTAGCCTTATGTTATACCTTCTACACACTCAGTTACTACAAAGTACACCTTTATGGGGGCTCAGCTAGTCAATTGGTTAGGGTAGCCTTATGTTATACCTTCTACACACTCAGTTACTACAAAGTACACCTTTATGGGGGCTCAGCTAGTCAATTGGTTAGGGTAGCCTTATGTTATACCTTCTACACACTCAGTTACTACAAAGTACGCCTTTATGGGGGCTCAGCTAGTCAATTGGTTAGGGTAGCCTTATGTTATACCTTCTACACACTCAGTTACTACAAAGTACACCTTTATGGGGGCTCAGCTAGTCAATTGGTTAGGGTAGCCTTATGTTATACCTTCTACACACTCAGTTACTACAAAGTACACCTTTATGGGGGCTCAGCTAGTCAATTGGTTAGGGTAGCCTTATGTTATACCTTCTACACACTCAGTTACTACAAAGTACACCTTTATGGGGGCTCAGCTAGTCAATTGGTTAGGGTAGCCTTATGTTATACCTTCTACACACTCAGTTACTACAAAGTACACCTTTATGGGGGCTCAGCTAGTCAATTGGTTAGGGTAGCCTTATGTTATACCTTCTACACACTCAGTTACTACAAAGTACACCTTTATGGGGGCTCAGCTAGTCAATTGGTTAGGACACCATAGAGCTTCTGTTCCAAAGGCTTAAGTTCAAATATAGCAAACCATCAAAATCTTTTAGCCATGTTATGAAGCCCTGAATCAGTAGTTAGACCCATCCAACCTTAAATTAAAGGTTCAGAAACCAAAATCGAAAAGTCCCTGAGCCAACGAGAACTGTTTCTGTTTTTCTTCATTGTAAATCTTACGATAATTAATTAGAATTTTGATTATAACATCAAGATGTATCTTAAGGTTTGACAACAGAATTTGTCATAAGTGTTCACTAGTAATACACTTTTAATCTTATCATTGCATTGAAGATTAATATACTAATCTGGGCAGTACAGATTTTCTACATTTTATAAGACAAGTAACATGATTGTAACTGTGCATGAAGTGCGTTATCAAATATGCAAATATATTCTAGAGTTACCAAGCGATTCCTAAACTAAGTTATTCTGTACGTCTGTAAACCCTAAACCCTAACAAACAAAAAGGCCACTAGCAATAATAAAAGTTCAAATTATTTTGATTTCAATGCAACATTCATACAATGACATAACACATAACAAGTATTTCTCCAAAAAGAGATTTCCGTTTGACCTTTTACATATGAATAACTAAGCTGCGTTAGCTGGCCTGCACAGTTATGTTTGTACACCGTCCCATTTCACTAATGTTTTCCATATTACTTAATCATACAACATTCTACAAAACAGGTCAAGAGGATGCTATTTGTATGACGAATCTGAAAACTTCATTCTCAAATACAGCATTGAACGCTGTTATTTGCATATACCACAATCACTGCTGTAAATTGTTGTTTGAATTTTACAAAAAGTATACAAAAGGTTAGTAAACTTCACTTTTAATATTTTATGTAAATATAATATCAATTTTTATATGTTAATTGCTACTAAGTAATTCTTAAGACACTTTGAGGATCATATTGCATTTACTTGATGATGGATAAAAATTGATGTTGCCAACTAAAAATACAGTATTTGTAGCAGATAGAGTTTAAAACCATCCAGCATGCTAACTCACTCTTCAAAGGATACCAGTTTGAGATTTTTCAAGTTTTATATAGCTACATGGCACTTAGTGACCCAGAATCACTTACTGAATGGTTCAATTTGATCCAACTGTCTAAATAGCTACCGGTTTTAAAATCAAAATCTCATCAGGCTACAATTAAAATGTCGCATCATTCAATTTCATATTCTCGGTCCACACGCAAACAGTAACGTAAAACACAAAACATTAAAGAACGTAAGGACATTTTACATAACTGGCCAGTATAGGGTACTATGAAATGTATATAATTGTTTCCTAAATGTATTTAGTTGCTATTGAAAATTGTGTTTTCAATAAGAGACTGACTAAAGAATATAATTCTTGTGCAATGTAATATCTTATTGTGCTTCTACAATTTATCGACTTGAGAGAGAGTACTCTAATACAGAGAAAGACCTACAGCTTAAGAAGGCTCCAAGCGAATCACGACATTACCACAAGGCTAAAATCCATCGGTCATTGGCAGGATTTGAACCTTGAACCCAGGGCTACAGGAAAGAACAGAAGTCCCTCTTACTTATCACTAGACAAGCTACATAATGTATTATTTGTAGTGTGTATTATTGTTATTGTGCTGATATGTACTTAGAGTGCTGGTATGAAAAAGTAGGCTTAAAAAAGTCTTTACAAAATAGTAGCTTAAAAAGAAATATAATTCATAGACTGCCTATCAATCCTTAATAGACTCTTCATAATTCAAAATTGATGGGTCAAGCAAATAAATCTGAATTTATCAAGAGTTTTAAATTATCAAGTGGTTTGATATATCGGGATAAAAATAAACCATTTGAATTTAAAAATGTTCATTTTTTTAACACTGTATTTTGTAGGCTAAGGTACCGTACGGAACGCTACAAAATTAACCGCTTACCTATTTTAGTTTGGTACTTTACAACAAAAAACTGCTTATTTTTAGCTGGTAAAAAAATCTGTTATTTTGTTTGCTTTTTGCTATTGATTGTTGCGTCATCAATGGACGCAACAATCAATAGCATTATGCCAAGAAGGAATCCCTCCTTTCGAATTATACAGTGTTTTTTGGATGAAACTTTGAACTGTTTCCAAATTGGCTTGCCCTCTGGTTGAATTTGAAATACTTATTGCAAGGTAAAACTTCAAAATATTAAGTACTTCCCTACAAAATGAGCTATTATTTTGAATTATTGTAAGTTTTGATTATATCAAGTGTTTGAATTACCAAGAGTATACTGCACAACAAAAATATTTTTTAGCAAATATCCTTTAATTGACTTGAGTTTGATAGGCTTTTAGATGCAAACTCGAACGGACAAACTTAATTATCACAAATCACTAACTGCCTCACTCAATTGGTCGCAGACAAGTTAAGTCACTTTAGCTCTATACAACTGATAAGACTAAAAGTATTAAAAATATTGCCATGTGACCAAAGTCAATGTTTGGTAATGACCATTTGAAATAAATCCAATGAAAAATTATCAAAATTATCAACATGTGTCCTTGTTGACTTCCATATCTAAAATATATGAAAGAGTAATGTACAACCGTGTCATTTGATAAACCGGATCATTTGGTAAATAATGATTTCTTTGATGATGAGCAACATGGGTTTCGAAAAGGCAAGTCTATAACTACTACTTTAATGGATTTTACAGACACTATAATTGACGCAGTTGATAAAGGAAACAAA